ATACAAAAATGATTGAAGAGTACTCCACTGTCCGACAAGTTACGCAGCACAGCCAATAGCGAAACTCGGACGGATTTCTTATAGAACCAGCCGATATTTCCTATAATATCAATGGAAGTAACCGAAACAGACTCACTTTGAAAGCATCACACAGCGTTCCGCCCGGTGGTATGGGAGGATTCTTAAACTTCTTATCCTTATCGACATCCCAGAGAACCTGAAGCGATTGTTAGGTAGAAAGTCCAAGAGATTACCAAAAAATGAAAACATACTCCTTCTTTAGTTACAGGTACAGGTATCCTCATTCCGTTATCATAATAGTAGAGCTCGTAAGTATCTGAAATAGAGCATGTTTGACAAATAGATAAATACGACCCTCTTCTCTACTTTAGCCTTACATTAACAAGACAGTAGGCACTAAAATAAATGCTGACCATTGAATTTTGAATTGGCTATCGCGCCACATGGAGCTATCGGGACCTTTTTGTCATCGTAGGCAAATGGTTCACAGTCAGAAACATCCTGAAACAGAGCAATTTAAGGCCTTGGAAGAAAGCTTAAAGAAATAAAACAGCAATGAACTCTCTTAGAGGAATGACCTACCATGACATTTCCGAGATATTGTTTATCGTTTCTGCTCTTTACATATCGCCGATGATTTTGAAAATAGTTTTCCAAGTAGTAATAAAGATAAACATCACCCTGAAATAATTCAAGACATAGTCATGAAAGAGCAGACATGGTAAGAAAGCACTATTAGAAACGCTTGGATTGGGAGACCATGTACGAGAAATGTCAAAGCTTTTATACGCACCAAGTAACTGGCAAAGTACCTAATAGAGAGGAGATTAGGAATTCCTGCACTTTTTTTCACGTCAGTTGATCCTTTTCATCTGCCCATGCTTTTCACTTCTACTTCACTAATGAAGGGTGAATGGTATTCGGGAGCAAATAGTCTTATACCCTCTCAGGCAAGTGTGGCCCTAATTAAGTGGCCCAGAAATGATAAAGGGCTCGGATATCCTCCATAAATATCGAAACAAAACTTCACTGAGCACCATCTTTTCCGTCCAACTCTACATCTGCGTAAAGCAAAAATTATTTCACAAAACAGATATTCAGGGACAATTAACATAGGTTCACGGTGAACCTTATCGAACACAAGGAGTGAGATGATCAATTGCACGAGAAAAAGCCAAGGGAAAGGACTTTTGGGTAAAAACTGTAGTGAACGAGACAGTCATAAAATTAATATTCTGACAGCGTTGCCACGTTCCCTTGTGTAGTACTCATCACGTGATTTCTCCCAAATAGCCTGACCTATTCACGATAATCTATTTTCAATGGCTACAATTTCAACACCTGCTGGTGTTGTTCTATCAATTCTTGGNATACTCAACCACTAAAGCAAACGTTTATAACATTAACAATTCTTAAAAATGTAAACAAAAGTACTTAAACCGAACTTTTCAAATTAAAAGCAAATACGAAGCAATTACAAGTTGAACATGAGTAACGAACCTCCTTCAGAAGCGAGGAATAAGGCAACACCTATGGGGATAAAAATTATTCCCACTCCTATAACAGTTGGGATGACGGTTGATGCTGTGAGAATAGGTTGCCATGCTGGCAATTGTTGTTGCCGTAACTTGGTGGCTGAAAAAACAGACTATAGTAAAGCACATGTAATCCAATATGAAGTTACTGTAGAAAAGAAAACTTCTAAATAAGATTCAGGAGTGAAAAGGACCTGACTCTTTCACAGCGTCCATACGAGTACATACACATATGAAAAATGAGCAGCTGAAACTCACCGAAGCTTATCAAATGAGATTTTTTTGCTATCGCAGGATACAACTTATTTCCCTTGCTCATTTCAACGAATAGCATTGAGTTTCTCATATAAAAACACTACACTCGGGAAATGTCAGACCAATCAGACAAGTTCAAGTACATTGCTTTCTAATAACATCTAGTACAATTACTTTCAGCTGAAATGGAGCCTACGATTTCAATGAATAATACAACACCCGCGGATTTCATGAGCACTTTCATCAGTAAAGGGTAGGTGGAGGGAACCGTTCAGTTCATGTATAACCGCGTGTTTTAACTAGGGAATACTGCTGAAGTTTATCCAAGCAATTAAAAGGTCTCATTACTGCTGAGAGCAACGCTCATATTCTGAAATATGACGAGAGCGAAAGTATAAATTATCAATCAGGCTGCACCGTTTTTCTTTTTCACACAATTCGAAGGCCCTAATTTCACAAAACTAGACCGTCAGCATCACGGAAATAAGCTTCGACAAGTTTTCCTATACACGAATTTTCTAGTATTTCATGTTCGTTCCCTTCTTTCAGGAGTTCAATGGCTCTCCTCCCACCAACAGAGAACGATTTTGTGAAATATCAGAAAATTTTCAATTTTTTAAAATTTTTTTTT